TAAGCCACGAAACAAAGACGGAAACAAACGTTGAAGATAGCCAAAGGATGGATGTCCTAGGCGACGATGCCAAAGCCAAATCTGGTGTTGATTGCGAGCTTGTGAGCTAGAACCATGAGTATGAGCTGCCCTTGGTGGTGAAGAGACCGTCAAGGAATACAACCCCCCTTTTCGTTTACCATGCCCAATCGTCGCGTGAGTCGTGAGGTCCTGAAAAAGACAATGGGAAGGATAGAATGTGGCATAACATTTATGTGAGTCAAGTAATTTTCCAACAAACAGCAAATTGCAATTGATGGAGGGAACAAGTAGTGTATGAGATAAAGATAAGGAAGGGGAAAGTGATATAGTTCCTTCACCAGCAACATTAGAGGGGACTCCATTGGCACTAGTGATGTAAGGATGACGAGACTTAGAAGATATTGTGGAAAACATAGTAGAGTCAAAAGTCATATGATCAGTGGCACCTGTGTCAATTATCCATGTAGTGGGTCGTGTACCTGATTCGGAGTCGGAGAGTAGGGTGGAAGATGGAGAAGCGATCTTGGTGGAGTTGATTGAGACGTTGGTGTCACCCATGAGGTAAATATATAAAGAGATGTAGAGGAAGAAATAGCTTAAAACTTCAGCATGAGAGGCAACCAATATAACAGCAATTATGGGCAAGGATAGGTAGAGATTAGGCAGGAACAAGGTTATACAGAGGCAATCAAAATCGATTGCTCTGATACCATGCCAAAGATAGTGTAATTGTTGAAGTAGGGAATGTGAAATAAGATAGGTTTGCAGAGAATACAATTCAGAATTTTCTCATTGCACATATTGGACATATATCTACAAGTATAGGCATAGCTAGATAGCCATCCGTTGGTTACAACCCCAATTCATTTACAATAAATTACAATCTCCAAAGCATGAATTATGTCTCCATGTTTCCAGCTTGTTGTGTTCCCCTTGTGTTCCCCTAAAATATGGAAATGAGTTTCTAGGTGGTAGACAAGCTTTTCCATGTTTCCAGCTTTGTCTATTGTCAACAGTATCGGAGGGGAGGGACTGTCGAGCAGCATGTTGCTGGGCCTGTATGGATTCAAAGAGTTGGATGCGCTTGGGAATGACGGCATCGAGGTAGGCATCATCTTTGGCGTGGACCACCATCACCATGGCAGCAGTTTAGTTTTGAAGGAGGAGGAGGAGAGAGCAGTTTAGTTCTGAACGAGGAGGAGGAGGAGCAGAGAGAGAGAGAGAGAGGAGTTACGCGCGCGTAATTATAATTTAGGATTTACGGGTAAACCCAATTATATTTTTATACAGCAGAGCAGCCTAGCTCTGCTGTTATATTAGGAAATCCTTGTTATATATTTCTTCATGTATTAGGAAATCTTTTTTTTCTTGGAAAACAAGGATTTCTTTTTTCTTTTTTTTGGGTAAGTAAGGAAATCCTAATTCTACTAAGACTTAAGAGTTACATCCTAATTCTACTAGGACAAACGGGACCATGGAAGCCGGAAAACCTCCATGGGAACTCCGACGAAATGCCCCAAAAACAAAGAGCCTCTGTGCGCTGCGTGAGGAAGAAGATGTGGCTTTCCGACTTTTTTTTGGGAAACCGCGCAATTGACCGACGTCATTTCAAAGCCGCTAATATTTTACGTGAAACGCACGTTTTTTTTTTTTTTGGTCAAACACGTTTGGTATAAATTACAGGTTTTGTTTTGTAATGAAAATAAAATATAAACATAGAGCAGCCACTTATACTCCCCAAAAATTCTAGATACTTCTTGTTATTGTCATTACTCACAATCCAAACCAGCCATTGGAATTTATCATATACTTGTGTGTTTATCAATATATTTTTAATTGTGTAATTTATGTTTATTTAATTAGTTACGAATTTGCAGTCCCACGTCCCAGGCTTGGCTCCTTGGGCATACTGGAATAGAGGGTAACGGACCAAATTATCAATGAAAAAAACCAAAATAAAAGTCAGCAAATTAAAACATATTAAATTTATAGAAAGCTGTGGGATGGGAACTATGGCAAAAATCCCTTCGTTTTATTTACAGCAATAAAAGAAACTGGCGCATCATCTATATATCGTACAAATCGCCTACTCAAAATCTGCATTATTGAAACTCTCCTATACGTACCTGGTCCAATATGAACAACAAAAGGCGCCTCTCGGAGGACAAAATCAGCCTTGCATTGCAGCATCATATTCTGTCACTTCATCACAACTCTATACCTACATCCGAGACTCTAGCTAATTTATATTACATTCCCAATATCGATCAAAATCTATGCCCTCTTGGCAATGCAAGTGGGAAAATGAGAAGGAAAAAGAAACTATTTCTGCTCAATCTAATGCTCATATTATAATTTTTGTCCGAGATGAGAAGCGCGGCAGATTAGAAACTGGATCATTATGTATTGCCACTCTTGATTGGATTACGTGACAATCGTTCAGACTCCTTTGAAGCACCCATCTTGGGCTTATTGCTTTCTGCTGCTTTTTTCTTTTCATTCTCACTCTGCTTGCAGTTTTCGTCATGGGCTTTGATGAACATTCTAACAAAGTTCAGCAAAGTTGAGACAACTGCAGCAGTAAATTGAAATGGTTAGAAAGGTAGCACGTGATTACAGTAATTAAAGTTTAATGCTGACTACATTCTATTAAGCACACCACCATATACGCATGGTCGATTTTTCATGAATTGACAAACCACCACATACATGGCCATCAGTGACCCAAGGAAAAAAAAAAAAGGATAGCAGTCTTCACTTTTGTCGGCAGAGAAGACAACAGTACTCTTATGTTTAGAAGTAATATGGCGCCAATATTTTAATATCACATGATGAAGGAAGATGGTCAGTCTCCTTATAAACGGTCCATATCGTAAACAAGCCCCTAGTGGAATGGAAGGTCTAGAACTCTTGGTGAATACCTTGTTCGAAAGGGCAGCGAGCAGGATCCTCTCCAAAATAAAGAATCAGTGCATCCACATTTCTACCCTGCGACGTTCAGCTCCAAGTCAAGAATACCATATCAAACATTATAAAACCTTGAATCAGTGCTCATCAAGCAAAGACTTACCACAGTAGAATATAGTGAAGCCAAAGTCCTCACTTCCGCTTCAGCAAAACGGAGGAACTCCTTTAGAATCTGAAGGTTATGAGAAAAACTACAAGTCAAAGCCTGAATGTCAAGCATAATATCTGTGACCGTTATTACTGCCACAAAATTACCTTACGGAAATTTTCTGATATAGGACCATCATTTTCTGAGGTGGATAGTTCCTGTACAACTTTCTCTAATCCTTTACTTACAGCTTGCATTTCCTCAGCCAAAAATTTCAATTGTATCTATAAAGCATAGAAAAGTCAGTCAATAGATACCCAACAAAATCCTGAAAATTATGGACCAGACACAAAAAGAATACCTTTGACGCAGGTTCCAAGCTGGCTAGGTCTTTAGAGAAATCTAGAACCTCTGGTAGTTGGTCAATGAGTACCTAGAGGCAAGACCAAACAAACCAGAAATGCATATTAAAAAGTAAATTCAAAGAAATACACACAAACAAGATTTTGCATTCCACCGCACTACAACACAGTTGAGAATATACTTAAACAAACATACAACTGCAGTAGCACTCAGAAAAGAATGTAATGAGAAAACCATAATTAAAACAGACGGTCTAACAAAGATAGTCCATAAGAATCTACCTTACAAAGATAGTGCATAAGAGTCATCTTGTGGTTCCTTGCGCGAGTCTCAATGAGTTTAAGAAGGCTATCCAACCTAAATCCGATAGCAGAGCCTAAAATATAACATTAACTATTACACTCAGAAGGAATGAAATTAGTAGTGCAAATCAGCAGCATAAAAACTGTTGCATGTGTAATTCCGACCGAACCCGTGAAATATGAACGAATATGAGCCTGGATTCAGACAAAGTACTGAAATATGTGCTTGATCTTATGATATCGTATAATGCTAAGATGACAATTTAAATTAATTTCAACCTACCCCGAGCTGTCCCCTGGTTCAGAGCATTTCCTAGTGAAAGAATTGTCTGCATAATTCTTTTCAATTTGACAGAATTCCTGATCTGATAAAGACCACATGTAGCAAGAAAAATGAGACTTCAATAATCTTTGAATGATTACCATCAATGGTTGAGGAAAAAGAAGGATGAACTTGCCTCTTCTGATGCAGAGTTCACAACATTCAAGCTATTTCTAAGGTCAGAGACCTACATGGCAGTTATTTGCTGTCGTTAAGTCTTAATATAAAACCCAACTATTAAGATGATAAAAATGCTAGTTTACCTGAGAAGAGAATTGTATTTTGAATGAAAAAACTCTGAGCTTTGATTCTACTCGAGGTACTTTCATTAACTCTAAGAGGAACTGCCATCAACATTTAAAAATCAGTAAAGGAGTCCACGTGTATTAATGCATAAAAAGTACACCAGATAATAACTCGATCATCAATTTGATGATGATTCTAAATGTGTTTACAATTCTAAGAACCCCATATCCACCATCAACTACATCTAAGAAAACAGACAACAAATTAAACCCATGAACATGATATGTAATGTTGTATATCAAGTAGTGTTTGGATGATTATTCATCCTGTTTACGAGGCCATGATTAACTAGCATAATGCCACAGTGATATCCTGCAAACCTGTTCACATTTTCCTAACTTCTCCTTTTCTCCAGTATAGCCCTGAAAACAGAATTATAGATTACAACCTTGAAATGAATTAGCGAACCTTTTATCTTGAGTAACAGTTTTGATGACCCACCTTAAGCAGTTCCATCTCCTCTTTTGTTGGACAGAACTTTATGAGGTTCTCAACCTGGTCAGCATCCAATGCTGTATCTTCCAGGGCAAGCACTGATTTCTGTCAATGTTACAGAAGAAGGCATATTGACAAGGATAACCAATAATCTGATGAAATAATCCACTACTGTGAGATGCTTCTAAGACCATACAATTCAGATATTGAAAAATATTGCATTAATGCTGAAAGAAGGTTGCTTAGAATTACAGCACTGTCTGTGAATTAGACACCATTGCTTAGTGATAAGAGGTGATACATGCTACAGTAGTTTGCAATGGCACCTCAATCATCACTAGAAGAGAACTGAAGAGTTGAATGCAACCATTCTGGCAGCAAATGGGGAGAAGTTGACTAAAGTTGGAAAAGACAAATATAACAATAAACACAGACCATAAAATGCCTCTGTACGGAATAAGATGTTTTATGTTGCAACTTAAACGGAATAAAGTTCAAGTACCAACTAATGTGAAAAATATAGCTACATAATGACAGCACAATAAAGGAGTGGAATAAAATAAAATATTTATAAGAAAAAAACCATAGCGGCTCTTAAGACTGCCATCATTTAAAGCCATTACCCATGCATTTGTTGGGGATCATTCAACTACTTCAAATATTTGGTCAGATATCGTGCCCATAATGAATTTACAATTCAGTAGTTAGTCTTTTTCCATTTTTAAATTTCACGATGCACGCACACTGTGTATGTTCATGTGTTTTGGACAGTATCGATTACATCAAGCATCCATAGAGTTGAATTCTATAGTGGTTGAAAATTAGCCTGGAGTAAATCTTAACTACAAATTATTTGTGTACAAATTTGTAAAGTACGATCAAGCTTACCATTAACTCATTCAATGGAACTTTCACCTTTGAAAGCATGATTTCACAGTTATATGCCCGTCTGTGGTCAATCTGCATTATACAAATAAAAAGCTAGATATAGATATACGATTTTCATGATAATATAGCCAACCAGGCTGAGATGCAAGCCAGAAAACAAAACACATATAGCTCATTCATGACATGACCGCTATGAAGTATAAGGATGAACACAAACCACGTCAATAACAAAAATCCATATAGGCAACATGTTCTTCATCAACTGAAGGTTGAAAGAAATTTACCAGTTGAACTTTATCAGATTTAGGGGCAGCTGAACCCTGTGTAGTTGTTTTCCTGCCATGATCTGAAGTTGGAACTGCCGCTGAGAAAAGATTCTCAAGCTCTGATATGTCAATCTCTGGAGCTCTGTCTCAATAAAATAAATAAGAATGTCAGACGCTGCAATATTTACATGTGATAAGTCTTC